TGGCTAGGCCTTACTGCAAATACGCGGCGCGTCCTCCGAGCGCCTCACTTATTCCGCTTCACGTGGAGAAGGCGGTCAGACATACAAAGTTCGGAAGGCCCGGAGTGGCGTACCTGGATTTCCCCGGAAACATGCTGCAGGTTAGGATCGAGGAGCCACTTCCGGCGCAGTACACGACACCGGAAATACCGGTCGCCTATCCGGATCCCGCGTTGATCGAGCAAGCGATGAAAGTCCTGGCGAGCGCCAAGCGTCCGCTGGTGATCGTCGGAAAGGGGGCGGCGTACGCGCGCTCCGAGCGCGAGACGAACGATCTGATTGGCCGCTCGAATTTGCCGTTCCTCGCGACGCCGATGGGCAAGGGAGTGGTCTCCGATCTGTCGCCGAATTTCATTGGTCCGGCGAGATCGATGGCGCTTCAGCAGGCCGACGTCGTTCTTCTATTGGGCGCTCGCCTCAACTGGATCCTGCATTTCGGACGGTCGCCCCGTTTCAACGCAGACGTCAAGGTCATCCAGATCGACATCTGTCCAGAGGAATTGCACAACAGTGTTAAATCCTCGGTGGCCATTCAGTCGGATCTGAAACCAGCGACGAAGATGTTGCTGGAGGCCATCGCCAGAAGTGGTTTCAAGTTCAACGATGCTTCCGATTGGTGGCGCGATCTGCGCCGAAAGTGCGAGTCTAACAGGAAGGGCGTGCAGGTGAGTGTGTATCTCGTCGACCCTTCTTTATCTTCTTCAAATTGTTTATTTTTCGTAGGCGATGTCGATGGACGTGTCGACGCCGCTGAACTATTACGCGGTGTTCCATCACGTACAAGAGATGCTACCGAAAGATTGCATCATAGTGAGCGAGGGTGCGAATACCATGGACATCGGCAGGTCGATGCTTTTGAATCGGTTGCCAAGACATCGTTTGGATGCGGGAACCTTCGGCACGATGGGCGTAGGTTTAGGGTTCGCTATCGCCGCCGCCCTCTATTGTCGCCATCACGAACCCACGAAGAGGGTGATCTGCGTCGAGGGTGACTCCGCTTTCGGATTTTCCGGAATGGAACTGGAGACCATCTACAGATACAAACTGCCCATCGTCATCCTCGTCGTCAACAATTCGGGAATTTACGGTGGCGTCGATGAGCAACTCTACAACGAGATCAAAGACGACTCCGAACCGACAACCACGTAATCATCAAAATAAATAGTAATAGTAATTACGTATGGATTACATTTTGTAATTATAGCATTCCACCGACAATTTTATCGACTGTGACGCGCTACGAGAAGATGATGGAACTGTTTGGCAAACGTGGACATCTGTGCAAATCCATCCCTGAACTGCAGAAGTCGTTGAAGGAGTGTTTGGCCGATACCCAAGGACCGACGATGATCAACGTTGTCATCAGTCCGACGGCAGACAGAAAACCGCAGACCTTCGCGTGGCTCACCGAATCCAAACTCTGATTTTCTTTCAGTTTTTTGTTTGTTTGTTTGTTTTGGGAACAAAACGCGTATAACTCGCATTAAATGCGTTCTTAAGGGAATTAAAATGTTACTTTTGGATTTTGGTATTAAAGGCAATAAATGAATTATCGAAATGCATTTTCAAACATTAAATTATTTGTGTTATACTTAGGTTTAAAAGCAAAAATAAAAAATTTCAAATTCTAAACATTCCTTTGATTAAAGTTAAAGCAAGAAAAAAAAATCAAAAAACGTCAAAAAATTCCAAACATTCCACAAACGTCAAAAAGCAAACATTCCACACATTCCAGAAACGTCAAAA